TTGCCCTCTTCAGGCCTTATTTATTAAAGCATTATTTAAAAACCTTTGTTTCTCCAACTCTTCTATGTCCATTTCCCATTCTTGTCAAACATATAAAGACAGCCCTTCATCTTGGCCTGTCAATTACCAGCACCTCCACTTCTCCCTAGAAGGTGCAACTTTTTATGAATTCTATTATTACTTCACTACTCACATCCCCTTTGCTCCTTGAATTTGACTCCCTTGTCTATTTTCTTATAATTTCCTCCTTAACTTTAAGGATTGTCAAACAAAATTTCTGACATATTCTACAGATTTTCAGTGACTGAGTTGTATTTGGCATCTCCACAACATCACCGACACCTACGATTCAACACACACTTCTATGTTTCCTGCCAAATGTAAAAACCTAAGAAGGTCCCAGGTTTCCAGAGTGTAATTTACATTAAGTAGTACTAAAAAAAAACCCTGGTCATATAGCTACATTTTTATTTTTGTTTCTTCAGGATAAAGTGTTGCCTTAATACGTTATGAACTTTATTGCTGATAATGTTTTATACCTTTTATATTTTTGCCAAATGTGCTGAGTGCTATTTTGATTTTATTTGCTGTTAGGACAATCACTCGATAGAAAGTTTCCTATATTTTAAAAGCTTTCAATTAGTTGTCTTTTTTACCCAAAGGCTGTATTTCCCCTATATATACTAGGAGTTTTTTCAGAATTATATGGCTCAGCAAACATATACATTTCAAAATATTCACAATTGTTTATGCATTTCTTTGTGCTCTTTCAGTCATCACTGCACCATGGGACTCTAATGAGATTTAAAGTACTGGCTTTTTCCTACACTGCCTGTATTAGTCTTGTCTGTCTGTAATTTGGAGACCAGTGGTCACTTTCTGATCTTAGGCTGTTCTGGGATTTTAAATTTCTTACAAAGCATAATGCTTAGCTCTGATGTCTCTCCATTCTTGGCCCAGTACTGCTTCTAATCTTTATGCTGGCACTTAGAGGACAAAGTCTTTGGCAGTATTTGCATGTCCCTGCATGGATGCTGATACTCCACTTATCTTTCTTTAACACCTTCTATCCCTCAGGCACTTTTATTGTTCTTACATCATTTGTCCGATCCTCCCTACCAGACGTGTTGTAATATTTTCTATCATCTAAATTCAACCAAAAAAATGAAAGCAGGTTATTTTTACTGGCAAATGTTATTAAGCTATTATTTTTCTCTTTAGTACATAAGCAATCCTGTATCTAACATTCAGTCCAAATACGAAAAGGAGAAGAGAGCTGCCAATCTGGTTATTAATATTTAAAGCTTAGGTCCATTCGGTTAACTGATCTTTATTTCTGCTAAGACAGACTGCTCTTTTATTATCTTGATATTGATACCTCGGGCTGTGCTTTTATTTCTTGCAGCAAGATAGCTGTGAACCTGTCCATATTTTGAAATCTACTCCTTTTGACAAATTGGAACTCATAAAAAAGTATTGTTGCCTGTGTGTTCTCTGGAATATTTTAAAATATTCATATTCAACAGTGAGTTCATCTCTGGTAGTACAGAGACCTGAAAAAAATACCTGCACCCCAATTTTTAAAAACAGGGTACAGAATAGACCACAAGTCCTAAGAGATATTGACAGAAAAAAAATTAAAGTTAGGTCCACTAAGACAAAATACATGGCTCACTTATGTCACAGGTAATGGGTTAAAATAAAGTACTCTTGCATAGGTAGTACAACTGGAGAAACCATACAGAAGCCACTTAGTCCCTGCATTGATCCCTTTTAGTGCTTTGAATATTGATACATGGGATTTTTTTTTGCAATGTTTCACCAAGAGCTGCTACATCTACCTTTTTTTAGTGCTTATTTTTGTAAAGATTTTTCACTTTGCATTGGGTCATTCAGTTCTGTTGAAGGTGACTAAATGTGTTAACATGAATAAAAAGATTTGTGAGGCTCATGTCAGTTACTATTCTGAAGGATAAAAAGCTCTCTGATAATGGATACATGGAGTGAAGGGTATTACAGGTGTTAGCAGCACCACAAAAAACAGTAGACTGATGAGTTTGATCCAAACAGTTAAAACATGTTTTGTCTGCAGCATTCTTCCATTGTTATCTGCAGCCTGAAAATGGATGAGAACATGCTGGCAAACTGAAGACAAGAAACAATGGCAGGCAAGGACAGCACAGAGTAAAAAGCTAAAGCAATGCAGAGACCAACAAGGAATGTTCTTGAAGAGAAGAATTACAGAAGCCCAAATCTTCTTCAGCAAGGGTTCCCTTTACTTTGGGTCACTCCACAATGGAGAAACAGTGCTGTGGTAACCACAGGAGGGCTTATATTCCCTTGCAAATAAACCCTGCATTTAAAGATGCTTAAACAAACAGCACCTGCAAGCTATCACTAGCACAAATGTTATTTTGACTTGTTTAACAACAGATTATGATAATTTCCTTCTCACAATGTGGATGAAAAGGTTTAAATCAAAGTAGAAATCCTGACATTTTGAACAAGTTTTCTGACTTTTTAGATATATGGCCAAACATGCATTTCTGCATGCTTAACACTTCTTTTAAATATGTGAAAACTTCTTTGAGCTTTCCATGAGCTGACAAGGAATGAAAGGAGAGTTGTCAAGGAAATTTCTGCAGTACAGTATATTACATATGGATGCATTTCCCAGTGCCATTCCCAGACTTTTACCTCTGCTTCAGCTGTCACACTCAGCTGTGGGTAAAAAAAAAATATAAAATTTCTTAAAATGTAGTCAACAAATGAATGTGAAAACAGGATACTCTAAATCAGGAAAAAGAAAATAGATTTTACAAGAGCTTGATTTTATAAGTTTAGTTTAGATCTTATGAGAGCTATCATGGCCCTTAGAACTCAAAAACTAGTGCCTATTTTCCATTTTTATATCAGTGCAGTACATTAAAAATTAAAAATAGCATCAACAGAAGATTATAACTATATTTTTAAAGATGCAAAAGTCTTCTTTATCATTCATACATGTGAATATACATTTTTCATGTGCATGATTTTCATCCTACAAGCCAGAAAATACAGCCAATTCCAACAAAGTCACAAATTGCAGTGTCATCACCATCATGAAAATTCAAGCACAGAAACCTCTACTGTAGGGAAGTTTATTCATCTATGCTCATGCTGGTTTAAAGCATCTCATAACTGTTGATGATGATTGCAGCAGCCTGTCAGAGACTGGCTTCAGCAAAAGCCATCTGGATGGGACATGGCACAATAATTTCCTTCACCATCTCAAAACATATTTGCAGCTGAGCCTTTCCTCTTTTCAAGATAAGAAAGTAGTTGAATGCTTCCAACATAATAGATTGTCAAAGTCCAATTTATTTATTCCATACAGTATCTGAACATATTGCATACCACATAAGCTCCACAGTTTACATTTACCAACAGATGTTTTTCTTTCTGGAGCAGATGGTATATTGAGTGTACTGTGATATAATTCACATTTGCATTATCAGTTGTGAATACTAATGCATTCCATAAACTGAATTTTGTTAATAACCGTAGCATCTCTGTATAAATCAATTTGTTTGATAACACAATCAAAAAACCCCAAATTTCTCAGTTGCACAAAAATATAAGATTTTTCTTATTCAAAGGTAAGATTTAGAAAGAAAACCCCAAGAATAAATAGAGAGGGGCCAGAAAGGTTACAATTTTTTATTACCCTTGTCTGATCTGTGCATATTTATTCTGGTTTTGGTTGTAAAATGTTAAATGTCAAAGTTAAGTAATTTTTACTTTTGCAAAAATTCCAAATTTTCTAAGCCGTGAGCTAATATTGAGTAATACAGTCTTATAAAAAAAAAACCTACTTTATGAAGTCCTCATAGACATTAATAAAGTGAAATAACTGTAACTTGAACAACATTTTGCCAGATAATGTTAGTAACTTCACTATTCTTGGGCATGATGATGGTCCTGCTAAATTTAAAAACAAAATCTAAATTATTGTGGATTTTATTTTCAACTTACATAATTTTCCCCATTATTTTCTAGAATGTCACAAACAAGTATCTGGAATGCCCTGCTAAGTAACTTCCTAAAAGGAACAGAACAGATAATATGTGCAGGTCCCAACAGTGTTCTCTTTTTACAGTATCCAAGGTGTATTTTCACATAAATGAATTCTCTATTTGTTTACTTTCTGACTATGATTACATGTTTATCTTGATTCAACTAAAAATCCTATTTATTGTCAGATTACTTGTTTTTCTTCCATGAGTTTCATCCCACACAGACATTGCAGGCACAAAGCAGTTCTTTCACTGGCACAAAGAAGCCCAGCCTTCTTTAAGGGTACAAGTTCTCATCAGTTTAAGATCAGTGTGGCTGAAATGGGTCTCTTGCTTCAGAAGGCCAAAGTCTGGTTTGTGCTGGGTGAAAGCAAGCACCTCCTCATAAATGTAAATCAATCATTGCTGAATCCTGTGCTGCTGTTGGGTGTCTTGGTAATTCTTCTTATAAAGTTTGCTTGGTTTTGCATGGAAATGCCTAAAATGTTTACTTGAACACTTAGGGGCTAAGAAAGTGCTGTCGAAATTATGAAAAATACCCAGATCAAAGAAGAGACATAGCAGTGAAAAGACTTCTGGTTGTAATAATGCTTTCTTAATTCACTTTGTATGAGGATCAAAAGCTAAAATGTGACCTGTCTGGTTTACAACCAGAAATCCAAACAACAGCGACAAAATGAATCACACATATAAGAAGTTAGGAATTTTAGGCTTAAAATTCTGTTCCCTTAGAGAACCCTGTGGCATACTATGATTGATATATCAGCATAATTTGAGATTGTTGTCTCTGTCTGCTTTTAGATGAATTATTTGCAGTAAAATTCAACTAGCACTCAACATCATATGGCTGTTCCTGTGATCTTTTTGAAGAGCTAAAAAGGGAAAATGAACAGTTGTCCTGCTGCAATAAGAGTAACTGTCAATTCTCTTTGCTTCTTTTAAAAGGAATTGCTGAGATTACAGATTCTGCAAGCTGGATACTTTCGAAGATAGTGTTCCCCTTTCCCAACAGCAAGAAATCATCACCCGTAATGGTTTTTCACAACTAGACCATTGAGATAGATGTTTCTCATACTATAAGTAATTTGTTTTTCTTGAATTCTATTCATTTAATGTAATATACCTTAGTTCTCAGGTGAGCCTCCACTATTGTTTTACAAATATTATGACCTTATCTTAAAACTTGTAACTCATTAGAGTTCATCATTATTCGTTTTTGTTATTCTTTCGCATTTTTCTGTGGTTAATTTTTTCTACCTTGTGCATAAAAGTTTGTTTTTCAGGGACTTCTAGGTACCCACCTTATTTGGCACAAGTGTTTGCTCCTGGGGGATTTAATACAATTCACTGAGGTTCTTTTGACTTCTTAGGGACTGGAATAACTGTAATATTCAGTTAATCACTGACAGCTCTGATAATCTTCATATTTGTTCATCCCTCCCCTACATTAGAAGAATGTTTATTCTCTGCTCAACCCTTCTTTGTAAAAGCTTGCAATTCTTGATTTGCTGGTAATTTTGTATGATCATTAAACTTCAGTTCAAATGTTCAAATGCTTCTTGAAAGCTTTTTTTTTTTTTTTTTTTTTTTTTTTTTTTTGTCTTTTGAAAGCTTTAATGTATAGTCATTTGTCATCTAGTGTAGATTGTCTTAGCAACCATCTGTCACTAAATTTCAAAGTGGAGGGCCCACCCAGCTACAGTTTCTTTCTCGCTTGGGTGGTTTTGAAATGTTTCCCTGTACACACGTGTACCAGTAGGGCTTGCAGCACATTTTAGGACACATAGTTCATTACGTTCCTTTATTTGCATCTGATAGAAATTTGCTTTAAGCTGTTCAGTGTCCAGTTTCCTGGTCATATGTGATCAAAGGGAACCTCTGGGTCCTTCTGGTGAGTAAAAGAAAGGGATTGTGAGCCTTTTCAACAGGGACTAGGAGAGCACTTGTTCTGTGGTTGACAGTGGAGTCCTTCAGATGTGTGTCCTTGTCCCCTCATGAAATCGAACCTAACTGGTGGTAAGGAGTGAGATTAATGGGAGAAAAACACCCATATTCATTCTGTGATTGTGATATCTTGTCTGAAAGGAAACTGATATTTATGGTATTTGGCTTCTTTTTGAGTGTTGGTATTGTGAAGGATTCAAATGAAATCATCAATCATTTGTCAAGAGCCCTGCAACAGCTCCAGCTCTGCACCAGTCTGTCAGGGTTTCCGAAACAACCACTTCCCACTCCTGTAACGCCAACACAAAGTACACTTTCTAGCAGTCTTTAACACGTTTAAAAGCATACTGTAAAAGGACAAAAGGCAGAGAACTATGTCTCTGATATCTTGGTTTAGTTTAAAGCACAGAAACCCAGTTCATATAACATAATACAATTTACAGCACAACCAAAGGATTTCAGGATCACCAGAAGCAGCAGTTCCCAGCTATCGTCTCAATATATTTTGTTCTTACGCATGTCAGAGGAGTGCTAAGACAAAATTTCCCTACCACTACATGCTGAAGTGTGGGATTTGTAGATAAATACATATATAAATACACTCATGGAAGTCACAGGCCCAAGTGGTCTTTCAACCCATCCTTCGGCTACTAAAAATGGAACACTTTCAGACTGGTATCGTCAGCAACAGTTTCCAACTGCAGAAACACTCCTACCCAGTCGCACAATTACATAACCTCTTCAAGCTCCATTTTTGAAGTTAGATATACCCTAGCTGTAAGGTAGCTGTGAAGAAAATTCCAAATCCTCTCTCTTTTAGTGGTTAGAAAAATACAAATATCATTATTTTATTTTCAAAGTGCTGGGATATGATTTTTTTATTATTTGGCTTTTTCCCCCTAAATGTTGCAACTACAAGTTTCTGGAATATAATCTGCACTTCCCCAACAGAGAAATCATCAATTTTTTCAAAATGGAGACCTTTCTTGCTATTTTCTATATCTTTGTGCATAGCTTCCTTAAGAGGAAGATACACTGAAGCTGATAGAAAACTTAGAATAATTTGGACATAGTATGTGTATATAGCAGCAAACACATGAAATTATGCTATTCCTGCTAGAAAGACTTTATTTATTTAATAAAAATTGTTTAAATAATTGTTTAATAAAAATAGTTTCACATAAACATTTTTCCCTTAAAACCTCATAATGGTGGGAAATGGTCTGGAGAGCCTTGCCATTTCCAAAAATCCCTTTGAATGAGCATGTTGATTTTGGCAAGAATGAAACCCAAAAGGAAATATACCATTTAGTATTATTTTTTGCAGCACAGTCACAAAGGAACTGGAATCAAATATCTGCAACCACAAAAAAAAAAGTAGCTTAATTTTCAGCAGGTGTTTTTATGTACTAAAACATAGAAAATTGGGAAATTTTGTACTTACCCAACACATGTTCTCTCTTCGTCTCTCCCCATGGTTAATCACCATGTGCAGGTAGGATTGATTCTCATCAGCCAAGTGATTTCCCTAAGGCACCTGGGCTTTTGGGATGCGTAGTCCAGCATCACCCCCCAACATGTGGAGTTTCTATACCACCAGTAGTATTTGGGAATAGTGTTTTTTTGGAGGCACCCACTGAAAAATAGTGTTAGATTTTATGGGTTGCCTATAAATACACATTTATTGAAGGAGACATTAAACAGCTTTCTAAGTATTCTGAAGGGGTTTGAACAGCATTCATGGGTAAAAACCTTTTCCAGTTATTGTCTGGCATTGTGCAAGGTGGTACCTCTGGTTGGCTTTAGCAGAGGCCCTTAGCTCAGAGTGACAACACACATTTTCACAGTATTCCACCTCATAGCTGGTGCTATCAAGGATGTCCTATAGCACACCTAAGGACCCTCTTCAGCTAGAAGAAATGACATTTGATGCATCCTAATTAAAGTAAAAGACACTGTGCATCTGCATAGCAGGGCTAAAAGACTGCTTGGTCTTCCTCTTAAAGAAGGTTTCCAGGACACCCAATCTTCTTTTGTTTATGTGATTTTAAATTAACCTGTCAGACCCAGGACCTGCTTATTTTAACTGCAGTTGCCAAAGGAAAGTGTATAATAGAAAGTAATAGCTGTTCAAAAAGTGAAAGAATATATTTCATGCCAGGAACAAGTTGGTCTCACCTGAGAAAGCTGAAGAATTCTGCCCATAAACTGTAGAAAAGACATTTCATATGGGGATTAAAACATTTGCAAATCTTTGAGTTTTTTTAATATTCTGGAATTATTTATGCAAAGTAGCAGCAGTTCTCAGGTTTCCAGTTATTTGCAGAAAGTCCATGTGGCTTCAGTTGTATGAGTGTATAGGTTGCCCAGATTTGCAATTTTGTAGAGCTGTGTAGATAGAATGAGCTTTTCCTTGAATACATTAGTCCTTTAGACATTAACTACATTATTACCCACCAAACTAAATACATCTCATTGCCTTTGCCTTAAGAGATTATTTGACAAATCACATATTACTTCAAACCATGAAAAAAATAACACTGGCTTTCCTTTTACTTTTCCCTTATTTCCCCAGAGATAGAATTACTTAGTAATTCTTAGCAAGTTAGTATGTAGATGTTTATTAAACCAGTGATCCTTCTCAACTCACTACTTGCCAAATTGCCTCGGTGTAGAAGCAGGGGAGGAGGGACAGACATTTTAAAAAGACAGCCTTCAGGGACTTTACAGCTGAAATAGTTTGACATGATTGTTTTCTGATTAACAAATTACCAATAACTTATCACTTTATTTTCTTCTAGATGCATTAAAAATACAGTCTATTAATCATTCAAGCAATTTAGGAGATATTAAGAGCACTGATCTGAAATTTTCTCTTCTCTTCCTCCTATTACAAATTGTGGTCTGTTCTTGCTTACTAATGTTTGCCCTTTCCAGGTCCTGATGGCCCCACCTGTCCTTCATGAGCTTCGCTACCACTGACTCCAGCAGTTCCATCACACTGGAGGGACTTTTCACTAACACATGGATCCAGATATGCTCAGCTGATAAAGGCTTCATTTCCTTTAACCTGTTCCATCCCAGCTCTCCTATATGACTTTTATCTTTTCTAATTACAGTCTCAGCTGTCTGGTTTGGCAGGTGCTATCAGGGATGATCCTGCACACGGTACCTGCGATAGTGACTGCAGTAGCAGCTGCTCCAGTCAGGGTGTGCACAAGAGAAGCCATCTTCTTCATGGTCAAACCATCCTGGTCACCTAGGCTGTTATCTTTAACATAACCCCTCATTTATCAGGTCCATATTTTTTAAAAATAGTTGATTCAGTGAGCAATCTGTAAGATACATACTAAATAAAGTTCAGAAAAATTGAGGGAAATAAAAAATAAAGTGATATGCTGTCCTGGAGGAGCTGACAGAACTTGTGTTGGTTTCTTTTCCCTCACAGGCAGCATAATTATAAGTGGTGCATAGGCACCCAAGTTATGAGTTATTTGTTTATGTGGAACTCAGAATTTTTGATATTTTGTGTGTGTCTTGAAGTTTGCAGAAACAGCAGAACTGGAATGTATAATTTGTTACAAATGTTGGCCAAGTAGAAATAATATTCAGACTTTTTTTTTCTTCCATTAGGACTGAAAAATGTCACTGCTACTTAAGTGTCAGCATCCTGATTCAAAACACAGAGAAGCTACTTCAAACAACAGCAAAATAAAGCAGGAAGCACTGCCTGTGCTTTATAGTTAGAGCAGTTTAGGAAGTAGCATTGCATTTTCAGCTCAGTTAGCAAAACTGCACTCTAATAGAGTGATTTTATTGACACGGGTAAGAAGCAAATTCCTGCCATGAACACATTTTTCTACAACCCTGACTGAGGTTTTGGAATAGTTTACAACGCAGTCCTTGAAAAGTCTATTCCCCAGTTGAAAGTAATGATTAACAAATTAAGCATACTTTTTTTTTAGTAACAAATACTGTTTGAGTAATAACTGTTGTGCACAGCCCTGTTATTGCCATTCTTTTCTCCTCATGTCAAGAGGTGTAGTCAGCCTCAACAGAGGAAAAAAATTCCAGATTTTTAAGGAAGAAAATTATTTGACCAATCCTGGTATTCTTAATCACCTTTATTCCCAAATGAAAAATGATCAGTAAATAACTTTATTTTCTAAAGCACTGAATGCTCCTGTTTATTAAAGGATAAATGTATTGCAAATCCTTCACTGTCATTATGGTCAAAAGAGCTACCTAGACATTTTCTGAAACCAAAATATTTCGTAGGGCTTTTATCAGAAAGCCTCTTACATCCTGTATGAATTTCTGACTAAAGACATGGAATACTCTAGAGCAGCCAATAGCCCAACAGCTCAAGTAAATGCATTCACACTTACTAATAAATAAATTTCCATCTATCTAAATTGAGCACAGATAATTGAAATCTTTTGTCTTGGAGCAGTAACCAGCCTGGCACTTAAAAATATTGTTTTCATGTAGGTTATGATTCAAATTCCTGACTGAGGACCATTACACCTCATAACCTGACTCCTCTTTAGTCCAAATCAGTACTATAAATTTATGGTGTTTTTCTAAAAAATTGAAGATTGCTACTGAGTTATTCCACTTTTCCATTCAAAATCCCTTCCTGTGAAATGTTTTTTAACTCTCACTGAATTATGAACTTGTTTATAGTTTTTGTAGAATGGTGCCCTACCTGGGAAAATATTACAGCTGAAGCCTCAAGTTGCTGAGACTGCAAAGTAGTTACTGCCTAGGTCATTAAGCCTTATATACAGAACAATTTTATACATGGATTCAGCAAAATACATAAGAAATTCAGTTAAAGACCAGCATACATTTCAGTAATGTTTTGACTCAGCTCAAATGTTTTGAATTATTTACGTATTGTAGCTGACTATTTTAAAAAACAAGTATTGTTCATACTAGTGTTAAATTCCTATCATAAGCAAAAATTTCACCAGTTACAAGTTTTCCCCCCAAAACAAGCTCTGTCTTATCACTCCCACATAGAAAATTCAAAACCAGAAAGGACTGGAAAAGATTTTGAAAAACTTAAAAGTCTTGTCTTCTAGGAACATTACCACGTGCAAGTGGCTTCTAATACTTATTTCATTTTTTTGTTGTCATAAAAATACTTATTATATATGTATATATAACTATACCAGACTGCAAGGTGGGCAGAAAGATCATTGCAGTCAACTGATGAATGTACACTGGCAAATAATTTTAAGCATTCCTTTCCCATGGTTCGACATAATCCAAGCCAAGATGTGCAAAGATTTCTTCCTCACTTCCAGCTTTGAGAAAGATCCTCTGTGAAAAAAAATTAAAAGGAAAGTCAATAAGGGTGTTAGAAAGAAATTTCAATTGATGCTTTTTGCTGTTGAAAAGGAGTTAATATTTGACAGTTCTACCCATTGTATCCTCTACAGAATACACTGTCTTCATCAGTGTGCCTACCCTGAAATGCAAAAGCAAGTTAAAAAAGAATTTTAATGCTGCTTGATGTTTTCGCTTTTAATGACTAGCTTTCAACTTTGTTTTGATTTACTTTTTCAAGACCCTCAAATCCAACCTATTTTTCCCTTCCATGAGGGTCAACAGCAGAATTTCCTTCATGAAATCATAAACGTTTTTAAATTAATACAGTAATGTTCTCTGTAAGTGCATTCAAACTGATTTGATGGTGACAGAAATTGTCCCTAGCCAAGCCTTAAGAGCATCAATTAAAAGCCAATCTTTTTTATTCTTTAGACACACTCCTTCTGAATGTTTTGCAGTAACATGAAGTTTTGTTTTTTATACCTGCACTTCTGATAATAAAGGAGATTATTTTTACACAGGAACACTCACAAGCCTGTGTGCTGTATGATGGCTGGTAGAATAAGTACATAGCCTTACGAATTCCTTTAATCACAAAAGTACAATAATAATTTTAAAAGCTGCTAAGGTAGGTGAATATTTGAACAGTAAAAACCTCACAATGTAGAGTTTGGAAGCAAGAAAAATATTTCAAGATTTCAGAAATTCCTGAATCATTTGAAGTCTAAATAAGTGTTCAACTCTGAATAATCAAACTCAAGTGTTGTGAAAACTTCAGAGTTGAGTTTCTCGATTTACTCTGCTGTGAAAGAGGAGATGCTGTCTGGAGAACCCACCGATAAATTCCTTTGAGTAAGGAAAATCTCTGGCTACACCATGCGTGCCTGCAGCTCCCTCCACGAGGGCTGTCTGTCCGGCACTCCCACGGGAATGGGTCAGGAAGAGGAGCCCATGATTAGATCAGAGGAGACCCAGGGTATGGTGGAACAACTTCTGGCACCAGAGATTCACAACCAAGACCTGAGTGATTAAAGTTGTCTCTGCTATAGCAAAGATTGCTTATAAAGCATAGAGAAAGAATATCTCTTTTTTTTCACAGGAAGTTCAAATGTCAGATTCTGGAATGAAAGGAATCTACAAATAATACTGAACAGCAGAAATACGGAACTTTTTCACATGGAGAGAAGAAGGGGAAAAATGGTAGAAAATAAAAATTTAACAGGATAAAAGAAAAGGAAAGAAGACATCAACACCATTGAATAACAATACTGAGGATATTTTGTTCCTCAAGTGTCTCCTGAGATGACAGGATTTTAGGGATTTTTTTTGTTATTTCTTTTTTTTTTTCTTTTAGTATTATTAAGAAAAAGAGGGCAATCCATACACCTACATTACTGAAAAAAAAAAAAAAAAAAAAAAAAAGAACTAAAGTAAAAGAAAAAAAATCTTACACTTGTAGACAGATGTTACAGACACTCTTTAATAGGAGCTCTTCATATCTCTGAGACCCGAAATTGCATTCCATTTCTTTTGTTCTGTCACTTTATGTTTTCCTGCAAGCTAAACTCATTTCATTTGCTTGACAGGGAAAATTTCTAATACACAGTATTTGATGCTGAATACCATTCTCAGTAGCTACAAGCAATGTTTCAAAATGAATCTCTGGCTGGTATCTGCCAACTGCTTTAGCAATGTAAGTGTTATTAATGTTAATCATAACCTATGATTTTCCTTCTATGTCAATCTATGCTTATACAGTGCTGCAAATTTGATTATTGCATTCACTACCATTCTCTCTTGATTTTTTTCTTTTTCCCCAAGAGAAGTAATGAACTGCTTGCCTGGTTGTGATTTTATTTCATCTTTTTACCAATATTGTGGAGATCCAAAACATACTTCACCAACATCAGTCAAATTTACAAAAAAAAACCCCTATGCTCTGGAGCTTCTGGCACACTCTTCTCTTATCAATTTAATCAATTCCGTCATTTCAATGGATGCAAACATTACCTTTGTGGTTGTAAACATAACCATTAACTACACATAATGTAGAACAATATCCATCCAAATGTTTTCTTACATGAGTTGCTACCTCTTATTTTTCATTTTGGCATTAATGATCAATAATACTGAAAGAGAAGCAGGGAGTGAAGGCACAGAGCTAGCACAGCTTTATGATATCCTATCATTGCCAAAGCTCATGTATGTTATACTTCTACTGTCACTTGGTTTCATATCAGATTTTAATACAATGAATCCAGAAAAAAAAAAAAAACAAACATTACTTAATAGCAGAATTCTAGTTTTAGTTATCTACATCAGCATTAGCCAACAGCACAACCTTCTTGAAAGGCACACATTTAATTGAATTCCAAGCAGACTGATATCCAACTGTTTACTACCAAATTGCTTGGCAATAACAGTGGCCCAATATCAAAATAAATGCTCTTTTACACTTAAGTAATATTTACACTTAAATAATAATTTGAATAAGTCTTAGTCTGTCACTATAGCATTTCATTACTATTTAACCCAAATGAAGATGAACTTAGAAAATTAGTTTAAGTACCCAAAAATAGAAGTTAATACCACATATTACCATTGATGAAAGGGGATTTGATGGTTCTGAACCAGCAGAATCTGCTGCAAAGTGAAGTACTACAGGTTTGTATGTACATGTGTAATTCACTGTTTTGAAGATGAGACACATGGTGGAAATTTGATTAATTTCTTTCTTTAAATCCTTGTAATCCTTGGTATTAGCTGAAGAACAAGAATTAAGAATGAAGTTTCCTAATTGACTACTGGCATAACTCTGCTTTATAGTTTGAACATTTGCTGTTGAATAAGTCACAGTCAAATTGCACCCTTAAAGACCAAGTAATTTCTTTCCATATCCCATTCTTCCCACTCTTTTCAGAGCCCTGACTTTTATATGCTTCACAGCCGTAATTCAGGAAAATGCAGTCATACTCTAGCAGATTTCATTATCCTTTTGAAAATTATAACATTGTGTATGAGGCACATCCCTTTTTGCAAAAGACCCTGAAGGACCATGAACACTAAGGTCTGTCTGGACTCCTGACCTACTATTACATGAAATAAATTGGGGAGGGGAGGAGGGGCATGGAGATTATTGCTGACAATATCTTTTTAGCAATTTATAAAACACTCTTTGATAAAACTTTGCTTCTAGACAAGAACTTGGAAAATCATTTACACATTTATTCTAATTTTTACTTTGTGTACAGGATTATGTTGCATGCTTTAAAATGGTAAACTCTTACACAAGAGGTTTAGGGATTTTAAATTTAGTTTTTCTCTTCTCAGAAGACAGTAATCACTTGTTCAGAAATCAGTGATTTCTAAAAATCACTGTTTTTCACATTTTTTAACATATGACACATATTAATATCAGTTTAATTATCTTAATATTTCCTTTTATTTTAAAAATTATTAAAGTGGAGATATAATGACAATATGATCATACCTAACTTTGTAGTTCTACTGAATGATAAATACCAAGCAGTCTAAACCCCCATCTCTTTACATCTCAAATTATCACAGTGGCCGTAAGCAAGACTGTGATAAATGAACAACAGAAAAGAAGAGGACAGACTGTCATTTTCAAACTTGGAACTTAATTGTTCATTGTGCTTGGACAGAGTCCATTCTAAAAATAAGATTTATGGGTAAAGTCAGTTGTAGATGAATGATGATAGCAACAGGATTTGCTTAATGAGGCATGGTCAAAGAGACCACAATGCACGTTTAGATTTCTTATGCATGTATTTGTCACTTTATTGACATCTTCACAAGTCATCACTTATGTCAATTGAAGAGTTATAATTAAAGATAATTTGGACAAACAAAAAGATGATGCTGCTTACATTCCTTGCTACAGCTTCTTTAGATATGAAAGGCCATGGCATTCAGTGAAGCAGTGCACCATAATGTCAGACCCACAATTGATAGAATATACATCAATGGCTTATCAGACTAAAAGTACGAAGCTCTTGAATTAAACTCCCTTTTTCTCTGATCCCATTTTCTCAAACAGCATTTGTATTCTTGAAAAAATAATTAACAAAAGGGGCTTACAGAAAAAATTGTGAAGGCAGAAACTTAGGTAATGCATCATATCTGCCACATGATTGCCAGTGGGAATGTTCTGTGTGTTTACCTGACCCGAGTGTTACCTGACCCACCTGTTCTCTGCCCCTGGACCAGTTCTGTAGTTCAGGTGTTGATGCACCACCAGGGCACACAGCTCACACCAGCATTGCAGAAACTTTAGGAAGAAGCTGTGTTTACTAAATCAGCCTTTTATAAGGTATGCCTGACAGTATGGGTATATGTGGTAAGCACATTTCTCTCTCTCTAAGGATTTTTCATAGAGATGCACAGAGAGAAAGAAAAAGAAAACAATTTCCCTTTCTGCTCCTTGTTTTTCCTGTGTGGAATGTGTTTGGAGAATTGTTTACCTGGGGTGAGTGCTTGATTGGATTCTGGTGAGGATTGTTTGAGCCTGATGGCCAATCCAACCCACCTGTGTCTGGACTCTCAAGAACAGGGTCATGAGTTGGTCATTAGTTAGAGATGGTAGTTAGAAAAGTAGGCATGTAGTTTTAGTATCTTCCTTTATATAGTATATTAATGTATTTTAGCACAGTTACAATAAAGAAATCACTCAGCCTTCTGAACTAGAGTCAGACATCATCATTTCTTCCCACTGGGTTTGCCTGCATTTACAATAGATATACATTTTATTATTTTGTAACTTTTGGATTATTTTCACCTAAACTCCCACATACCAAGGCAAAAATATTCAGCTTTTGAGACAGTCTGAGGACTCCATCAAGGAAGTCTGTACAATCACATATCCACAAAACAATGCACTGAAGTATTTTTGTTTCAACATTTCCTGCAATTCTTAGATTGACTGCAGCTATACTCTCTACTCAGTGATCCTTTTTTATCAAGTTTGGTGC